TGAAGGGTGACCCAGATGCTTCCCCCCAAAAAAGTGAACATCACATAGTGATGGCCTCACACCCTCCTCTGTGGGCACAGTCTGATGGAACCTAGTCACGTGACCTGAACTGGTTTAGTTCTAGATCTAAACAGGCCTGTAAAACTGAATTCACCATTACCACGCCCCGTCCCACGTGGTGTCTTCTCGATGACGTGATAGTTTCACAGCAGCCACTGGCACCCCCCAGAGCTCTGAACTCCCCACCCCCACCCCCAACCAATCAAGCCCCAGGACAACCTCTGACCTAGTAGTGCTACCCATGCTTCTCATCTTGGCCCTAGATAGTGGTTTCCAAACCTGGGAAAAGCAGCCTTTAGGATGCTTGCAACAAACATAAGCGCCCAGACCCCTTCAGGCCTCCTTTCCATGGGAAAGTCATGGCTGAGGCCCAGGAACCGGTACTAGCTGCAAATACCTCAGCTGATTCTGTCTTGAGGGCTAGGAGCCCAAGTCCTGCTCTGTTAGGCTTGAGTTCCACCCCAGTCCCCAGTCTGCTGTTCTCAGTCCACTCATGTTCCACAGCCCAGCTTCCCACAGTAGCCAGGGGCACTGTGGAAGGAAAAACTGCCATGGATGTCCCATTTCAGACCCTAAGGGACACCTCATGTCCTCAGAATAAAAACAGTCTTTCCTCGGCCCATACACACAACCTCAGCCCAGGTCAACCTAAGTGAGAATCGGAGAGTAAGGACTCTGTCTCCTCAGTAGACTCCCAGGACAAAGAAGGCTGTCTTCTGTGCTGACCAGGTGCCCCCGAGCACACACAGCAGGCGTGTGCAGGGCTCGGGAACCAAGTGCTCCACACGGGGGCACTGCTGAGCCATGTGCTGGGTAGCTGGGCCACTCTGGGAGCGACAAACCCCCTAAGCTGGGGGCCGAACAGGACCTGGCTGCATCAGCAGGCTGGCCACCTGCCTTCAGTGACCTGGGGTGACGCTGTGTCCACATCTGCTCAGGTGGCCGTGTCCTTCTCACTCTCCCTGGAACTGCTGTCCTACCAGAAGCTCCCAGCTGATCAGATGCTACCTGGAGTGGACATTCGGCAGAGTGAGCACGGACTGAAACAGATGGAGTTCACACAGAATTTGCGTCTGTGCTTCACCAACCAGACCGTTCAGGCATGTCCTAGCCTTCCTCTTCACCTCCACCCCCACCCCTTCCTGGGAGGAAAATGACACCCTGCCCCGGGGGTGAGGGACTAGAAGGGGAAATCCAGGGTGCTCCCTGGAGGAGGTGGCAGGTGAAGCCTGTTTCTTGTTTAATCAAGAGAAAATGGAAACTACATAGACAGACCTAGGGTATGGCCTCATTAGTGGGGACAGTGACCACCGAGGAAGCTGTGAGGGACACTGCTTCGCTCCTGTAGGGCTCTGAGAGCCATTGAGCAGGTGACACACAGGTCAGTGTGGAGCTGAGGGAGTCCAAGGGTGTATCTGGGGATGCAAGTAGGGAGCTAAAGGATAGACCTTGTGAGATGCCAGAGAGACCAGAAGCAGGACAGGGAGGTGGAACCCTGCAACCTGGCAGCAGCTGGAGCCAAAGGGAAGTTGACCCTGGCAGTCCCCGAGTGATTCGTGGACTTCCGAGAGGCCGTGGGCCACCTGGCTCGGGGTCTAATGATCTGGGGAGCATGCCTGGGACCCCATAGGACGAGGGAGACAAGGAAGGTGATGGAGGTCGGACAGCAGAACATGAGCTCCATGGGAGGGAGGCTGGCCGAGAAGCTGAGGGGTCCTTGTGGCCCTGCAGGGTTCCACCTGTCCCTCTGGCTCTGGTGGCAGCGCCAACCTCATGCTGCCTAACGGCCTGCCACCCCAGCTCTGCTCAGAAGTGCCAGTACTCGGGGGAGGTGGGTTTCCCTGTGTCCCAGGACCCCAGTTCAGAACAACACCCCAGCGGGGCGAGCAGATGCTTCATCCCTCACTGATTCCCGGGCCCCCAGGAGGTGCCCCTGAGGGCTGTTGTGGCCCTACCATCGCTGCAGCTGTCCACCAGCTGGGTGGACTTCGGGACCTGCTTTGTGAACCAGCAGCACAGCCGGGAGGTCTACCTGGTAAACCGCAGTAACTGCCTGAGCTACTGGACAGTGCTAATGGGTATGTCGTGCTTGACACACTACGGCTCCCTGACAGGACTGAGCAAGACCCCTGAGACTTCTTTTTCACAATACCAGGGGTTGAATCTGTGGCCTTGAGCCTGCTAGGCAAGTGCTCTATTTCTGAGCTACACTCCCAGCCCTCATTTTGGGTCCCGTCCGTGTAGACTGGCTCTCTAGGACTGGTGGCACCTGAGTCCACTCCTGGAGTCCACCAGTCATCCAGTTCCTGGCTGCCCTGCCCTGGTAGCTGGAAGGACCAGAGGTAGCACCTGAGAGACTGGTCTGGCCTGGTCTGGGGCACAACATGTGGAGCAGCCTGTGCCCACATGTGGCCTCTTCTCTTCTCGGTGTAGGACAGGAGGAACCAGTCACCGAGGATAATGCCTTTGGGGTCTCCCCAAGTAGTGGGCTTCTGGAGGCCCGACCTACCAATTCACCCCCACCTTCCATTCCCCTTCAGGTGTTCTTCAACCCTAGGTAAGAGCTGCTTACTGCCTCCCAGGCACCGCCCATGGGGCCTGGGCATTGGCTGGCACTACCTAACCTCACATCTGGCTTCCCCAGGAGCAGCCTGCTGTACGAGTCCACGATGGTGGTGGAAGGTGTGCTGAGTGAGAAGCCTTGCACCCTAAGGCTGCGGGGCCGAGGCTCTTATGACGAAAGATACGTGATACCCAACCAGCTCTGAGCTCTGCCGTCCTCAGCCCCCTCCCCAGTTGAGGACATCAGGCTGGCCCAGAGTTGAGGGGCAGAGCTGCTAAGCAGAGACACAAGCTCCCTGGATAAGGGATCTCCTTCCAGGGATTGGTGTCAATTAACCACGCCCCGCATGACAGTTCCCAGGGCTAACCGGTTAGCACAGGCCACCACCAGGTGACTATGACAATATCATTACAAAGATGGTCCACAGATTCCAGCAAAGCAAGAGCTGGACCCTGAGGGAAATGACTGCCACCAAAATCGGATAACACACATTTACTTTGTTCACCCCACACATCTTTCATGAGGCCACCTTCCCACAGAAATAGACATTGTCCTGTGGTCCAGCTGAGGACCAGACTGGATGGCCCAACGCCCAATCATCCCCATATAGTGATGATCACATTTTCTAAATTAAAGTGCTGTGATACACCCCTCCAGTGCTGGGTGTCCCATGCTTCCGTAGAGGCCCTCTCTGTTCCGTCACTGTTGGACTCTCTGGGCAGTGCCTGCAGCCAGGGCTTCAGTTCCCAGGGTATTCAAAGACAGCAGCGGCTCCCATGCCCGTCCCGATGCACATGGACACCACTCCATAAGCCCTGGGGAAAAGAACCTGTGTTGGCTGGGCAGAGCCTGACCCCAACCCACGCCCTCACCAGGCAGAGCTGCGGCAACAAGGACTCAGGGACAGATGAGTGCAGCAGATCTGTGGGAACCGGGCCCTAGACAGACACACGCCCAGGTGGCAGACACCGTCCATAGGTTATGCTGCCTTTTAAGCAGGTCACTGGGAAGGCAGGTCTCAGCCCTCCTTCCCTAGTTGAGAATACCTGTGTGTGCTCATCTCAAGGCCCAGCGACCAGACACCCAGCTCGAACATCCCCACAACACTCCACAGGGAGCGGCCTTACCGTTTCCCACGGCGCTTTAGTTCATTGAGCAGTGTGACGACCTGCCTTGCCCCGGTGCAGCCCAGGGGGTGGCCCAGGGCTATTGCACCCCCCAGGGGGTTCACTTTCTCTGCAGGGATTCCCAGCTTCTCCACACAGTAGACGGCCTGGAAGGAGCCAGAGCAGTAGCTGAAGCCTCCATCTGCTCTGAGCCACTGGCCCGATGGATCCCACCAGGACACCCAGGCTCACCTGACTTGCAAAGGCCTCATTGATCTCAAAGATGTCTATGTCATTCACAGTCAGGCCTGCAGGCAAGATTCAGACCAGAGCTGACAGTCATGGGCAGGACTCTGGATTTCCTCTGGGCTCCACCCCAAGCACGGCTCTAGCAGTCTACTGTGTGCCAGGCCAGGGGTTCCAATGGTAGCTTAGGGAGGCCTTGGACACGGGTGCTAGTCTGACCCACTTTCATTCCCAAGCACCCACAGGGTCAAACCCTGCAACCCCAGTCCCAGATAGAGGTAACGAGGGGTCCAGGTGCAGGATGAGAGGGACTGCCTCACCTGCTTTCTGCAAGGCTGCAGGGATGGCATAGGCAGGACCGATGCCCATGATGTCAGGAGGGACACCAACCACTGCATAGGACCTCAGGACCCCGAGGATGGGCAGGCCCAATTCTTCAGCCTTGGATCTCCGGGCCAGCAGGACGGCAGCTGCTCCATCACTCACCTGACTGGAGTTTCCTAGGGGAGGAAGGGCGGGATGGGGAGGCGTCAGGCGGAGCTGAGGAGAGCCAGTCCTCCACCATCACCTCGCCAAGGGGCCTGGGCAGCCCCAGGTCTCAGAGTAGAACAGGCCACCTCCATCAGCCCTATTCCTGGCCCACACTCACCAGCTGTGGTAGAGCCTCCATCCTTGAAGGCAGGCTTCAGCTTGGCCAGGCCCTCCATGGTGGTGCTGGGGCGGACACCCTCATCCTGGGACACAGTGACGGTTTTCTTGTTGCCCTTGTCATCAAGGATGGTGGTTGTCACAGGAACGATCTCAGCTCGGAAACAGCCCCTGCTCTGGGCGCTCGCTGCCCTGCCAGCACCATGGACAGCGAACATCAGGCCCCATTGTTACATTTTCCCTGAATGTCCCTGGCATTTGCCAACTCCTGAAGACACACAGCCCCAGACTGTGCAACCCAGGGACTGCTTTGCCCCCAAGGGTACTCTGAGTGACTGCTGAGGGTTCCTCAGGACACCACCTTCCTCTGGGAGAGAAAGGCATGCCTAAAGCTTTCCTAGACTCAATTTTCACATCTTGGAGCCCATCCCAGTCAAGAGCTGGACATTTAGTGGTCCCGTCCTATTTAGGGTTCTTTATTCAGTGGCCACTCAGTCTGCTCAGTGGTCTCTTCCACAATAAGTCTTGCACTTCCCACAGGCCTGAGGCTCTGGTTTTCTTGAACGGCAGCCTCAGGTCACCACTACAGTCCCAGGTCTGTCTCTCATGCTAGGAGGACTAGGTTTTAGCACCACTGGCCCCAAACTCCAGGCTTAAGGATCACAAGTGGCCGTCATATCTGATAAGAATAGGGTCCTATTCCTTATGTCCCAAGGAATGGGGTCGGGGGTAGGACTGAGGCCTAGCTAGGGAGAGGACACTCAGACCTCAGAGTGTATAGTCAGAGAGGACTGGGAAGACCTACCCAACAATGGTGCTGAAACTTTCCACTTTCCAGCTAGAGGCATGAGGCTAGTCAATACATGTGTTTCATCTTGATAGCCCCAGCTCAGGCCACTCTCCAGCCCTATCCATAGCCCACCCGAGCGGAGCTGCACTCACTTCTGCTGGGAGGCCAGAGCGAAGGCATCCTGCTTCTGCCGTGAAATGCCAAACCGCTCAGCCACGTTCTCTGAGGTTATCCTAGACACAAACAAGCAAAGAAGGAGGCTGTGGGCCTGTGGACCTGAGGACCAGGGCCATACTGAAGGACCATAGTGAAGAGCCAGGCACATACCAAAGGAAACATTCTTTATGGGGGGGGGGCATGCAGTCTGTGTGTGGGGCCTGCAGAAGGCATGGCCTCCTACCCAGTCACATTTCAAAGAGAGGAACAGAGAGATGCTGGGTTTACTGGCTGGCCACGCTTGGTCAACTTCTCCTATGGCTCCATGCAGCCTTTGGAGAGAGGGTCTGGGCAAAGCCAGACCATTAACCCACTGCAAACCTGTCTTTGTACAGCCAGGAGTCCACAGATCCCAGATATGACTGTAGATGATAGAGATGTAGAGAACAGATTTCCCAGGCTACATCCCATAGGTCTAAGTCCTCCCCAAACATGTTCAGAGCTTTAGTGCTCCCCACATCCTTCTCAATGCTCCAGGTCTCCAACAGGGCTTCAGGGGGGACATCTGGCACCATCCACCTTGTGACTGGGCACCTCGGTTTGGGGGACAACATGGTATATGTTTGGATACTCGGGTTCAGAGAGGACTCAAGTGCTTAAAGAAAGGAAAGCCAAGGATGATGTCAATCGCATACCTAATGACACTCAAAAGATGGAGGCCGAGGGGTTGGAAGCCTAGCATTGCCAACCCGAGGAGAAAATGCCTTGGTCTCTGGTTGAGAACAGAGTGGGCACAGGCTTATGCACGCACGTGCACACACACACCTTCCTGTGGACACTCACCCCATAGGAATCAGGCAATCTCTGGCCTTCTCATTCTCCAGCAGGCGTGAAGAAATATTCCCAGAGTTCCCTCTCTCAGACAGGGACATGGACTCCACCCTGAGGAAGAGGATTGAGCTCTCAGCCCTGGTAGGAAGCCCAAGGGATGGCCAGCTGTGTGGCAAGTGCTAGGCAATAAATAGCCAGGGAGCCCTCCAGGTAAGCAGCAGACAGACACCTGGCCAGCGAGCAGAGATTGCAGAGTGGCTGAGCCATCTTTCCCTCCAGCCCAAGACACAGCACTGTGCCAGATACAGCCCCAGCTCTGGGTCCTGCTGCACGGTGTGTTACTAAGCTAAGTAAGCAATGGTTCTCAGGGATGGCCCCCAAGTTCTCCCTCCAATGCACTGCTAACCAAATCAGCCGGATTCAGCCCTCCATGTCCCCGAGTCAGAGGGAGAAGCAAGAGACGGTGCACACTAAGTTTACATCAAAGAAAGACCTGGCCTGCACAGATTGGCAAATAGGTGGGACGTCTGAGAAAAAGGTCAGGTGGCTCATGCAGAGGGATCAGACATCGCTGGGGAGGTGGCCACGAGGCCACATGAATACCAAAAGCCTTGGCTAAGTTCTCTCCCGACTTTGGCATAATGTGAGCTCCTTTTGATCTTTTCGGAAGAACTGAGTGTTAACTATAGGACCTTAAATGTGGCGGACAAGCACTATAGTGCTAAGCTGTATCTACTAGCCCTAATTCCTTTTTTATTTCATTTGAGACAGGATCTTGCTCTGTAGCTCAGGTGGGCCTTGACCTTGAAACCCTCTTGCTTCAGCTGGGATTACAGCACCAGCCAGTTGTATAAATGACACATGCCCCGCAGTCAGCTGTGGTGTGGCTCTACTTAACAGTCCTACAAGAGCCACAGAGCTGAGCTGAGGTGAGGGTATGAAGCACTGGCAAGGGAAGAAGCTGGTCGTGGCCACCAGCATGAGCCCCAACTAGACAGTCTGGTCCCATAGCTCTGACGTGGGTGAGCTGCACTCTCAGTGGCTACGGGGTTGTGATGTGGGCACCCTCTAGGCACAGGTGCTTCACCTCCAGCACTAGGGCCTTCAACCTGCTTGGGATTAGAATCCTGGGGACCTCATAGAGCCCCAACCTTTCCCCTCCAGCCACCACATCTGCTGTCTTCGTTATGACAAACACAAGGAACAGCAACAGGCAGGCTGGCTGTGACCGTCACCTACCAGGGTCCCCATTTGTGGACTTTGGCTGTCCTCCTACTGACACACTGGTCAGGACAACCCAGCACAGCCAGGTGGGACCCGACCATGCATCAGCAATGCTTCCTATTAAAAGCTATGGCTCCAAAGCCTGCAAACCTGTCTTCCAAGCTCTCCTAGGCTGTCTTCCAACAGCAGATGGCCCCAGAGCTCTATTCTTTCCATCATGG